TCCCATGGGATCCCAACCATAGATATATATTAATATTTGTAGTTTCTCTTTAGCCATTTGTAAACTAACTAAAATCAAATAACCCAATCATAGATATATATTAATATTTTATGTTTTAAATATATTTTTTTAGTACGGAAAAGTGGAAAATTTCCAATATTTCTTAGGCTAGAATAGTTTATATCATAAATTTAATTTTTAAATTTATTTTTTAATAATGCCATTGTAATTTTTTTTGAAATTTAAACTTAATTTTTAAATTTAAATCTTTTGAACCGACTAACCAAACCGAAAATTGACTCAAACCAATATAACCTGAGTAACCAACCTCCCAACCTGACCAAGTCGATTTGGTTGGCCAAGCAACCTACAACTGAACCGCACAACCCGTGAACAATAGTTTAATCTCCAATAATTGTTAAAAAWTTATAGCAAAAATACACAACAAATTAAATTTAAAAATCTAAATAACAGTAGTTTAAACTCCAATAATTATTGAAAATTTTCTATTAAATAACAAAACAAAAATAGATTTATACATAATTATTGAAAATATATTTATCAAAAAAACAATAAATAATTACTGAAATACAATAAATATTAATTTTAGTATAGATAAATATATAATAAATAATGATTAAGTTTATAAGTTATTATTAATAAACAATATTTTTTTTGAAAGTTATTTTCTAGAATTATTAATTGGTATAAATGAAATTAGTTATTTACAATATTATTTATTTATTAAAATGATATCATTATTTAAATTTTAAAACATTAATTACTTGTTGAATTTAATAATCCATAAAATTATAGTACTATTAATACATAATTTTGTTATTTAAACTATTTAAAATCTAGTTATGTTAAATATTTCGTTATTTAAAATATTTAGTTATTTAACTAAATATTTAAAATCTTAATCTATTTATTATAGCTGAAAGTTATTCAGTAACTATTTAAAATATATTATTAATTGATTTAAAATATTAATTTTATATTTTTAATGTTAGATTTTTATTATTTGAATAACATTTAGATTGAATAATCCAGAAAATCATAATTTATATTGTTTGTACATAATTTCGTGATGAATTTTGTAAAAATATATAATTATTAATAGTATGAATATTATTAAGTTGATTATAATTATTTTGTCTTTTTAATAAATATTTTAAAGTTATTATATAATTTTGTTAGAATATTTAAATAATTCTTAAACTTTTTAATTCAGACTTTCTTTAGATAGATGTAAATAAAAAGTGGGGGAGAGGATAAATAGGAATTAGGGATAATTTATGAGGGAATCTCTCTACTAAGGTGTCGTTTGATTGCACTTTTCAGAGGTCTGAATCTGAAAATGCTACTTTTCAGACCCCACCCCTTGTTTGGTTTTACCTCTTAAAATTGGTCAGAATCTTATTTTTAGATTTGAAAATAATAGACCTTGGGCCAGCTCTTAACGTGCTCAGACGCGTTGTAGAGCCGGTGCATAGTCCAAAATATCCTTACAATATTTTGGAAATGACACAAGTTACCCCTGATAACCCCAAACCCAGAAAACATAAACATTCGACCTCTTTCTCTCTCTCTTTGCCCTGTTTTCTCGCCACCACTGCTGCAAGTTGCAACAGTAGCTCTCTCTCTCCCCCTGTCTTTTCTCTCTCTCTCTCTCTCTCTCTCTCTCTCTCTCACTCTCTCTCTCCCTTGTGTTTTCGCCACCGCCATCGCCGCTGCAACATGTAGTAGTGGTGGTTCGGTGAGTAAAAATACTTAATTATAAATTATTTTTATAAATTATATTAATATTTTTTATTAAATTTACTTTTGTTATTTATTAATTATTAATTATTGTTATTAACTAGTAATTTTTAATTATTTCATTAATTTTTAAAAATTATTTTAAATTTTATTTGTCTAAATTATTAGTTAGTAATTATTAATTATTTTAATATTTTTATAGTCATTAATTATTTTTTTTAATTTTAATCGTTTCATTTTTTAATTAGTAATTATTAATTTATTATTTTTTATTTGTATTGTTTCAATATTATTTTGAGGATGAAAATTATTTTTTATGAGATAATGTAAATTGAATTCAACATTTCCAAATAGTATGTTTTAGGGGTAAAATAGTAAAATTAGTAAATTTTAGATGGTAAAGGGTTGATCCAACACAAACTTATGGATTCAGATCCTCTAAAAAGTAGAAAAGCATATATGCCTCTTTTTAGATTTCAGACACATTTAATATCTGTTTAACTTTTCAGATTTATCAAACGACACCTAAATTAGAGATAACTTAAGAGGTAAATAGGAGTTGGATATAATTTAGGAGATACATAGGAATTAGAGACAATTTAGGAGAAAGTGGTGCCTCTTGGATAAAAAACAATCAGTTCGGTTCTAGGTCTAAAATTACAGACTCTATTGAGTTCGATTCCGTTTCGGACCCTTGATATTTCTTGTCAGGTTGTTTTTGGTTCTCATTGGACCCGGTCTAGATTTGACCCATTGACAACACTAATTAATAAAGAGATGGCCTAGTTAAAATCTTGAAATCTGAAATTGCTTTTTTGGGTATCGTGTGTTTTCTAGCACCATACCACCTTAGTTAAAACCATGGTTTTCAAAATCGGACCGGATCGGACGATTGGATCAAAAAATGGGAACTGGTCACCTGATCGGTGTCATTTTATCCCAGAACCATCTTTTTGGCCAAAAACTGTCAATTTGGTCAACAAACTGTTGACCTGGGTGGTTAAACCATTCATTAGTTTTGGGCCATTTTTTTTTAAAATTTTTTATTTCTTTTGTCAAAATGTTGTTCAGTTTAAATGATCGGACCATTCAACTTAGAAATTGGACCCTAAACGATCGGACCATTCAACCCGGAAATCGGACCCTGAACGGGTCGTTGTGCAGTTTGATTTTAAAAACCTTGTTTAGAACTTGAAAATTGTAAACATTTATACAATGTCAAATTATTTGAATCGGGAAAATCTATGATGTTGGAAAGACTTTGACAATTACCCTTGTGAATTTCGATGAAAATCCACCGATGATGATTGATTGATTATAGGGTTTTTGACATCATCACAGTTGAAATGTGAGGGAGGTTACAATATTTTTTAAGAAAAACCTCGAAAGGCTTAAAAAAAAGGGAAAATCTATGATGTGAAAAAGATATAGTAGGGGAAAAGTTTTGACCATAAATTTTGATAAATAATACTTGATTGGCTATCASGTTTATGATTCCAATTGACTAATTAGAAGTTTTTCAGATATCATATCTTTTCCATATCATAATCAAAGTAAAAAAAACTCATTTTCCTTTCCCAATTTTCAAAACGTGATTTCAGAAAATATTTTTCATAAAAATGTATAATCAAACGGCAGGCGTCGTCTAAAAATAAATTTAAGAAATAACAATAATGTGACACAGTTTTCTAAGAAAACAGTATTGATTTCGAACACGACTCCGGATGTTCTGTCCACAATAACTCTACCCACGCCTATTTACAATACACTACCCCTTGAATTGAGAACATCTCCCCAAACACTGGCTATTCGTCGAGAAAACGGAGGGAAGGTTCTGAATGATTTTTCCTTTGGAACAAATGTTTATCGTCGCTGAGGAGACGGCGGAGAATTAGAAAGGTGAAAGAGTAATTGGCATTTGCAATAGTGACACGTATTAAAGGTAAATGACAACAATGTGCAAGAGGAAAACCAACTGACCAGGTTCCTGGCGACGGGCGAGCCGCTCTTCTCGTATGACGGGTGTCAGCGTTACGACACACGGGACAACCGTAAAAGTCGTAGCGTCGTTTCGACACCCTCTCAATAAACCTGGTCACACGAAAAATAAACCCGGCCCCACCATCACTACCACAAAAATGATTTGAAATTCAGCTTCCCTTATCTCAGGATTCTGGATTCAACGGCGTTAAATTTCGTGGCTACCTTCCTGCCGCTTCATCATTCCGTTATTATTTCACCGTCTACGTTAAACGGAAGTGATGCTCTATTCCGTGCCCTCCATCAAATCCACGACAAGATGCTTAAATTTATATTGGATAGCGGAGGAAATTATAACTCTTTTTATTTGTTTTACTTCTTAGATAAATAGTGACCAAAATAAGCCAATCGGGTGAAGCTTTTCTCCACGTCAGCTTAATGAATTCTATCCTACTTGGCATGCGATTTAAACAGACGGCCAAGAAATAACCGAAGAAGTGCGGACTTGCTTTTTGAGAAAACGACCCAACAACCCAAATGACAATTATAACCTTGTAACTTTCAATTGAGCAAACGTCCTAATTCCTCAATCACCAGAGCTACCGACACGTGCTCGCGAGAATTATCACATGGTACCTACATTATTTACCTCCCCCTGCCCGGTAGCCCCTTCTCTTTCTCTCTCTCTCTTTTTTTTTTTCTATTTTAAATATTTACTTGTCTTGTTACATTCGAATATTCTTTCCGTAGTAAAAAGAATTTCATTATATTTTTGGTAAATTTCATAATCATATTTCAACGTAAACCACAAAATTAATTTGAATACATGATAAGAGAGAATCCTGAATTTCTGATTACTTAATTTTGTGAAAAAAGGGGATAAAGCAAATGACAGAATCTCGCGAAATAAAAGAAATTTTCTAATAACGGAAATGAAAGAAAAACAAAATAGATTTGATACAAGTTCCTACCCGAAACTATCGCCCAAATTTCTAGATTTTCCCTCGTCCTAAAGCCCAACGTTTTTTTCGAAGCAAAGGTCGTGCAAATTAGACCAGCCCGAAACGATGCCAGAGACTCCCACGTGGCAATCATCTGATAGAATGGGGGCAGGATGTGGATCACCCGAAATGAGGAACTGGTCCAAGTGGTTTCTGTTACCGGCTCTAGCAGGGAATGCACTGCGCTTTAACCGGTTTACTCGGTTATCGGGGTCAATGGTATAAGAGTTGGGGTTTAAGCAAAGCAGGGTGGTTTTCAGAGGGTTTTTGGCCATCAGGTAATAAGAGAGACAAAGGTAGCGTCCAAGGATGGATGGGAAACCAAAGCATGCGTCAAGCATATTATAATTCGGACAGATAAAACAGAGAAGGATGGATGGGAAACCAAAGCATGCGTCAAGCATATTATAATTCGCCGATCTCTTGAGACTCTCCGGCAATTGCCTGATAAATTTTACATCAGTCGGAATTCTGACGTAATTCGCCGGAATTTCATTTTTTTCACCGGCGCTTTCTTCTTTTTTTTTTTTTTTCTTATGCACAGAAACCTTGACAACCCTGAACAGAAGCCGTTTCTCATAAGGTTTGTGTGATCGGATTTCTTCATTGTTTTGCGCCTGAATTTGATCACAATTGTGAATTTTTTGGTCCAGAATTTTGTAGATTAGGCGGCGTTTGCCCTTTTCTGATTCGATTTCCTCTTTTCCGGTTTGGATTTGTTGAATTGGCCGGAATTTAGGTCTAGATTTATTTTCCGGTGCTGAATTCTGTTTYTGGTGGATTTGATCTGAGTTTCGATCCGTTTGCTCGTCTTGATGGGCGTATCATGTTTTAGAAGTTTGAATTTCTTCCATGGATTTCGAGGAAATAATTGTGATCAGATTGTTTTCTCAACTTAAATTTTCTAGACTTTGTCTCAAATGATCTCCGCTTTAGGGTTTTGTGTCCTAAAGTTCTGTTTCTGTGCGAATTGTGTAGAATCATACGCAGAGATGCATATAATTTATGTTTCTCTTTGTCTGTCTTTGTCTGGATCTTTCTTTTTCAAGTTTCATGCTTTTTATTCATTTTCTTTTCTTTCCTTTTGTTTCTTCATCTATCTTTAATATGTTCTTTCTCTGTTAACAGAAATTGTACAGAAGACACGTCTAAGTTTCAATTCGTTGGAGTTTACTGGATTAGCTGAACCTGAAGTTCTTCGGAGGCCTTCAAATGTAAAATTTTCATCTCGTCCTGTTTAAATTTATGACCTTTTATTTTACCTTTGAGATCTGAAGTCTCCATTTTATTTTTAATTTTGTTTTTCTAGATATGGCAAGATTTAAGTTTGCGAAACTTACTTAACATACTTTAATGGATCTTTCCTTCTCCTTCATCTGTTGGGCTCCTCCCTGAATTTCTTAATTTCTTTAATTGTTCGTTTTCTTATAGTGAAGATCTGTTACAAACCTTGAAAATTGGTATTGAATTTTTTTTTTATTTTTTATTTTTTTTTGTTTTTGACGTTCGGATTTTGCAGAAACAATTCTCTCACTTCCAATGCATAAAATTAATTTTAGTAATTCTTGATTTAATGACATTTTTAATTCTTTTTCAAACAGGTGATTGAATGATTGTTGTGTCAACCTGGTTAATGGTGCTACTGAGCAATGGATTTTTCTTCTTTCTTTTTCTTTTCTCCATTTTTTTTCTTTTACCTTTATGTTGTACCGGAAGTCCTCATAAAACCTAAGTTCACAATTTATTCCGTTGATGTCTCTGTTTTCTAATTCCAATCCCTTCTGTATTTAAAATATTATCTTGCGGTGGGAGCTGCTTTTACCGGTCTCTGTTCGTTGGCTAGTTCCATCTATTTTTTTTTTCTCTCTTTTTCAAATACTTGCACAATTTGTTCGTTTTTTTCCCGTTTCATGACATTGGAGCAAGATTCGTTGAAAATGATTGGTAGTCGATTGGGAACATTTGAGTTCAGTCACAACCAAACAGATTAATAACAAGTAGTTTGGCATGTGAAGACGGGCCATTTCTCATACGTTTTATTTACTGACAGGGTTTCATCATTGGGATCAGATGCAAGCTCAAGCAGTCGGTGGTGCTTGCATTGACTACACCAGATTGTTTTTGGATTTCTGAACAGTGATATGGCCCAAAGATTCTAGTTCTTCATGCTTGTTGAATTCTTCTAGTTGGTATGAGTCTCTGAGATATGGTGTTACAGAAGAGGCTAGAATATGGATTCAATGGCTACCAGGTGCCTCGAGCTTCCAGATCAGCTAGGGTAAACATGCGCAGCCATTTTTCTGATTTACCATTTATCCTATGTTTTTCACTTTTCTGAACTTTTAATTCTTACTGGTTTTAGGGTAGAGGTTCTGTTAGGAAGAAGGTCCATGACAACCCAATGTGTGCATTTGATTTATTGGCTACTGTAGCTGGAAAATTGCTACAGGAGGGGGAAAGTTCACCTGCTCCTGCTAAAGCATCGGCCAGGAATGATCAGAACCCCTTAGTTAAACATAATCTTGAAGCAGAACAACAAGATGAAGAGAGAACCTTAAAAGTAGAACCTTTTGACCAAGGCAGCTGCAATGAAAGTGTCCTTGTCTCTGGGCTTGGGTCTGAAGGTCACAACCGAACACATTTTTTGAAGGAGAACCCACAAGTTCAGAATGCTGTGGCTTTGAGGCAAACTCCTGCAACAAGAAATTTGAACTACTCAGAGAAGTTCACTTGTGCTGAGAAGTTCATTAAGGGTAAAAGCAGGAATGAGTTTGGATGTATTCCAAGTAAAGAAAGGAAAGGCTCCCCCAGCTATGGAGAATCCTATGGAGGCAAGGTAGAAGATGGAACAGTAAGAGAGCGTGAAACACAAAAAATTGGGAGTGTCATAAATGGAACTTTGCCTGATTCATGCAGTTCAGAAGATCCAATGGAAGTGGATAGGAAACCTCCTGCATTAATCAGTTCAGACAGTAGTGTTGACATACCTTTATGTAGGGACCCCATTTCTTTCCCTGATGATGATGTAAAAGTAGTAAATAGAGACGATGACGAAAACTCTTCTGGGTGCACTCAACCTAGCCCCATAAATGTGAAGTTTAGACCTTCAGGACGCATTGGAGATCGGAGAATAAGGAAGCTGTTTGCCTCTAAATATTGGAAAGCAGCTCCAAAATTGAGTGATGGTGAAATTTCTAAACCTGGTAAGTTTTCTGCTTTGTTGGTTATATCTGGTTCAACACTCATTTGATGTTTTACTTTCAAATTTTTTTTTTTTTTCAATTCTACACACACACATCTGTTATTAATTGAAGAATCTGGTTTGTTGTTTTAGATGGGGAAATGAAGCCTTTTTCTCGCAATAGGAAAACCTGTTGCACACGCCAAAGATCTCAGAGGAATTCTCCTTTCAAGAAGAGGAAGCTTTTAGATCAAAGCTCGGTATCAACATCTGATGGAGGAATTAGTAGCATAGGCATTTCTAATTCGGCTGAGAAGGGAGTCAATGAAGTCACAATTGGTTCAGGTGCAATAATGCGTGGAGGTTTATTTCTGCCTCCTCATTTTCCTTCTTTTTCCCTTAAGATTCAAGGTTTATGACTGTCTGCAATTTTTTTTCTAAATAATCCTCACTTTTTTTTTTCTTTTGCAGCAAGTGGCACATCTTCTTCTGTGGCAGGTCAACAAACAGCATTTCAACCAAGGGATTCTCATGGTAGGAGAACTTTTCATTTACCTTAATAATTTTTCTTGATTGACTTGATTTGAATCTGATATTTGAAAGGTATCTTGCATACATTGTCTTTCTTTTGTTCAGTGAGGCTTAGTATCAAGTCCTTTCGGGTACCAGAGCTTGTCATTGAGATCCCTGAAACTGAAACTGTTGGTTCACTGAAGGTATGTGATTTTTTGCTGCTTTCTTGCTATATTGTGATAAATAGTTATCATTGAAAACCCCAATTTCAAGCATTGAAATTGGACTATGAATGAAACGGTCTATTTTTAAAGGAAATGGACTATGAATGAAACTGTATTTTTAAAACCATTATTGAAAAGCAAGTTGTTCTATTCACTGTTCATTAGTTGTTGCCAAAACATTTTCCTTGCAAGAATGCCTGTGGTATTTGAGTAATAGCCACATTCCTGTGTGTCCCCTGGCCTTCATATTTTTGACTTCTTCAGTTTGCCTGTCCAAATCATAAGGTATGCTTTTGGTATTGTGCATAACCCTACTATTACACCTAGTAGACAGTCCTAATCAGTTGCAACACCATCTTCTCCCTCAGCCTCCACCTTTTTCTCCTGATCCCTTGTTCCTGCTATTCATGCAAAAAGAAAGTAAATAAATAAATAAGGAATACCTTTGAACTGTTTTGTCATGACTGGTAAATTCTATCTTATTGTGGTGGTATGTAATTTGTTCCAGAGGACAGTTATGGAGGCTGTGACTGCTGTACTTGGAGGTGGACTACGTGTTGGTGTACTTCTTCAGGGAAAGAAAGTTAGAGATGACAATAAGACTCTTCTTCAGGCTGGAATCTCTAATGATAACAAGTTGGATGCTTTGGGTTTTACACTAGAACCTAACCCCACAAATTCTCCACCACCCGTGTGCCCTGAAGATCCTCCCTTTCTGCTACCTTGTGATGCACCCCAGCCAATAAACAGGTAAATATCTTCGAACTCTGAGATTCCAATGTTGGTTTTACTATGTGGTTGCATTAAACTTGTTGTTCCTATATTCCAGGTATCCAACCCCAGCTGCTTTGGATCCAGGGACTTCTGAAGTCTCCCTTGTTCCTCCTATGACCAATTTAGCAAATTGTGTAGAGAGTGATCATGATTCTGTTCCTTCTCCTATTGATGTGTCGAAGGATAAAATAACACCAGATTCTAGAACCTTGGTTGCCATCCCAGCAATGAGCGTCGAGGCTTTGGCTGTGGTCCCTTTTAACCGGAAATCTAGACAATCTGAACTTGTTCAGCGCCGAATCAGGAGGCCATTCTCTGTCTCAGAAGTGGAAGCACTTGTACAAGCAGTTGAGAAACTTGGGACTGGAAGGTATGGGACAGGATTACAACTACCATATAACTGTCTACTTAGCAATTTGTTCTTTTTTTTTCATTTATTTATTGGTACGAATCTCTAAGGTGCCTCATTTAATCTGTAGGTGGCGTGATGTTAAATTACGTGCTTTTGATAATGCAAAGCATCGGACTTATGTTGACCTGAAGGTAAACACATTTGTTTGCTTTTTCCTTTTACACCTTAAACCTGCTAGTCGATAAACATACAACTATTAAGAGACCAAATTTCTTGTAAACTTTAACTGAGAAAGTAAACAAGTTGTACTGAAATACGCACTAAGAAGAATAGGAAAACCTACTAGTCCCAATTGAATGATTCTAAACTCCTAACTCCTTCCCATTGAGAGATTCATTATTATTATTATTTAATGAGGGAAACAATGCTTACAAAATTACAGTTCTGGCAGATCTGAGMCATCATTTATTGTGATGCTTATAAATAATTTCCAGCTTCAAAATTTTCAAAAAATTGTCAGTATGTATGACATTAATTATCTAGTATCTAATTAAACAGTGGCGAAGAGAAGGAAACTAAATATCAGTGTTTAAGTGGAAGCACTCGGTGTTTTATGGAATTATTGATCATGTAATGCAACAGTTACATTGCAATGCTGCTACTAATGGCAATTAAAAGTAAGTGGCTCGTACATGAGTATGAAAGAAGTGACAGCTTCTTTTCTTTTCTTTTTTTATTCTTTTTGTATGAAAAAAGTAACAAAAGTGGAGATCATTCATCCTAAAAGAAGAATAGTGTTCTTTGATGCATAGGTGGAGTTTATTAATAAAAGTTCTGACACAGCCTTCAGTGCTTTCCCAGTAATTCTAGTTTTTGTCGATTTCTCTCCCACACCTCAAGAGGTGCACCTCAGTCTAGTTGTCCCTTTACCAACTACGATCCCGTCTCTTTACATATATCATTGAGAATGTATCTTGGTGTTGCTTTTAATGACTAAGGCTAAAAAAGTAAAAGAGGTGGCTACTTCATAGGTTGTTTGGGATGATTAACATATGATTGGTCCTCACGTGATGAATTGTGGGATGGGGGTTGTGCAGGATAAGTGGAAAACATTGGTGCACACGGCAAGAATCTCCCCTCAACAGAGGAGGGGAGAGCCCGTACCCCAGGAGCTCTTGGACCGCGTCCTCTCTGCACATGCTTACTGGTCTCAGCAGCAAGCCAAGCAGCAGCAGGTCAAGCAGCAGTCAGAGACGTGCCTTCTCCTCTAGACATTTAATGGAGAGGGGAAAGCAATGGAGGAATAGAATGACCTCTAACTATTTACTGTTATTTAGTCTTATTTTTGTAAAGAATGATGATGACCAGAAGAAAAAAAAAAAGAGAAAAAAAAATCATGTAATATTCCCACACTCACCATGATTCTTAGCCAGGTTTCCTTCACGGAGAGGTTGGCCCTTGTAAATGATGACGGAATAAGATCATGCTAACAGAATTCGTCCGACGCCCAGTACACTGGCGTTTTCTGTTCAATTGATCCCATTCAATTTCATTTGATTCTTTGAAGAAAATTTGTTAAAAAGAGAATAAGGGAGAAGGAAAGGAAGAAAACAACATGCTTTTGTTGCTATTACTTGTCGCCTCGTTTAGTTTCTTATATTTCCTTCTGTCTCTTTTCTTTATTTCGTTTTCTTGTTTTTCTTGTATGTGGGAGGAAAAAAGGGGTCCGGTGTTTGGTTTCTTTGTTGGTAGTTGATGATTGTAATGGAACTCTTTGTGACATAAGTTGTTGAGTCAAGGAACGACTCAAGAATGATTCATTATCCATTATGCAGATGCATGCACCAAGTATCTTATTAAACAGTGGGAAATTAAACAAAGTTTTTGATAATGGGCTCCAAGATGTGCATCATCGATCGTTAAAAGGTAGAACGAGAATTGACTATTGAGTGTGTCAAACTTGGGATTTCTGATGGCATTCATCCAGCGGCGCTTGCTTAAGGAGTTCCAAGACTCATGACTACGTACTTCCTCCTATTGCATGACGATTGATTGATTACGTCAACCACCGATGAACTTAATATGGTCTGGCGGTTATAACAATGCAATCCAATTTCGATCCATTCCAAATCGATCGGGGTTAGAGACTTGGGGTTGGTGAGGAGTTGATCCGTCTTTCATATATATATGGGAGTTGGGACATATTATCACATATCAGGTGGAACCGAAACYACCTAACTTGTGGGCGACCCACATCACATGTCTCCGATTCCTAGAATCTCCCAAAATTGGACCACCGGTATTGTTTATTTCTATTATTGCAGCAAGACGGTTATAGATTAGGTTGTAATAGCAAAAAAGAATAGACGGCATCGACTTCACCACTTTCGACTTTTTTTCTTCAAGTGCGACTTTCGATTCAAGTGTATATAGAATAGTAGTTAAAATGGAAACAATGCAATCCGAGTTCGGTGGATTGTTAGAGAAGCACGTGGTGGCACGAGGTAATTAACGTTGAAGAAGAAACGTGAACTACTTTCTTTTTCTTGAGAGAAAAAGACTGGCTTTTTTCGTTCTAAAAACACTTGCATGTTGAGGGGCGGAGAGAGAGAGAGAGGGAGGGAGAGGGACCACCTAGGAATATAGTGGCAACAGTTGGACAGGTTATTAAACTTAGTTGCATGAACTGATATGTGTAAGGTTTCATTGGTATGGTTTTCGGACCCAGTAAGCAACCTCCTGGCCATTACTGTTCACGGGAAGGAGGTTCCTTTCAATTCATTGGCGTACCATTTTTTTTAATAAATTAAGCTCAGTTTGAAAGGATTACAAATACAAATATCTAGAGTACAAAACCTTATATTTTATATATATTTATACTGTATATATTTGTATTTATACTCCTTGAAATTGAGCCTAAAGCAAATTGTGTATTTATTTTTAGCTTTATATATATATATATATATATATATAATTAATTGCGCATTTGTGCTATTGGGTTTGTCGTCCTAGGTCAAACCAATCCATACAACCAATTACCTATACATCTGACCCAATTGATTTCTGTCACAAATAACTACGGTTCGATTTCAGTTTCTTCTGTCTAGTATTCGTACGCATTAACAAGACGATTCAAAGAAGAAACAGAGAAACAATCATTAATTAATTGTTGTGCTGCGGAGTGATAGACTCCATTCCCCGTTTGACATTCCGTACCAAACTTCTCTTATTGCAGTTGTTCAACGTTCCATATTAGTGGATTTATGGACCACTTTATGACAATTTATCCACAGTGGTTCTTTTTTTCTGATATAAAATACAAGTGTCTGATCCAAGTATAACATACGTAACGGATTAAGCAAAGTGCAATTGTAGACCAAGATATTTCCATAATTAGTTATAGTCAGTCAGTCCTACATAAACTACAGAAAGAATGGAGAGTCTATGACAAAGCCCCCACAAGATAAAACTTCGTTGGTCTTCCATGGAGAAGGACACATCAACAGTTTGTCATGCCGTAATTCATTTCTTCTCTTACGGGAAATATTTCAATTCAACATTGTTTTGTTTTTTTTTTTTTCTTTTAATTTTCTTGGGGTGTTCGAGACCAGATCTGCTCCTTACTCCTGGCGCCTCACATACATATCCTATCATGCATTGAGAACTATCTTCCCTACTTATTAATTATTATTCATGGGAGATGTTCCCAATGCATGGTGGATATGCATGTGAGGCGTCCATTTATGAGGAACAGATCCCGTTTCCGTTCCAGATGGGGGATTGAACCGTTGAGGTGCGGACTGCAAAGATGGGCACGGTGACAAACATATAGATACGTCCTTATTTTCTTTCCTTTCCTATCTGCAGTTGAATGATTATTGACGCAGTTGGGAGGATACGTATTGTATTTCATCTCCATATCGGTCCTTTATATGATATCTCCGTTGACCCATATTAGCTGAAATGATCACTCGGCATCCCTCCATAATTCACATATGAAGACACAGAATCAAACCCACATGACTGTGAACGCTCTTTCCAGGTAAGCTCAATGGACCTCACATAGTCACATACGCGTCTCTTTTTCTCCACCTCTTAAAGTCTTAATCCCCTATAAATGCGTAATATGTACTACCAAAAATGGAGGTGCCCCATAATGTCCCACAGCACATCTTCGCTGTGTATTGAGAACATCTTTTAATGATGATATTATCATTTTTCGTATTATCATCAAGAGATGTTTCCAATACACTCCATGATGTGCCGTAGGACGTTGTGGGGCACAATTCTGAAATGAAAAGTGGGCCCATTAGTGACTGGAAAAAAAAATCTGACCATATTCCTTACTAGCTTGGCAAGGGATCAGTAAAAGGGAATATTTTGTATTGGCGAAGGTCCAGGGCATGCAGCTCAAACTCAAATGCTCAGCTTCTCACTTTTGGTACGATGGAGTTTTAATCTTACGCTGAACCATGGATAAAGCCTTATTGCGGTAGCCCTACCTTAAGTCATTTCATCATTTTTTTTTTATTTTTTTTATTTTTATTTTAATTCGCGGAACTGTACACAATGGGGGTAACCCATCCCCATCCCATTACTCTCTTCTACAACAAGAACCTATATACCAAATCAACCACCATCTATTGGTATTAATTCAAGGTAGGTATTACAACAATACGTTTAAGGCTGTTATTTCGTGGTTTTAGCCAACCATGTCATAGCAAAGGTGAACCTTCAAATGTATATGCTGGTTGGTTGCAGTAATACATATAAGAGGTCATGGTATTAGCTCAAAACTAATACCATGTCTACACTTTTATGGCCGATGTGACACATTCTCTTAATAACATTATTATTGGTTAATAGCATATAACACAGTTTTTTTTTTTTTTCTTATGAGGGCCAAAAGTTAATAAACATAGAGGAAAGTTGGTTAATGGAATTTTAATTTTATTTACTAAGATTCACATATTTTTTTTCAGATATATATGGGGTTTATATAAATTATTATCCCTGATCATTACCTAAGTGGTTAAGTAACTTTCCCACTGGGGAGGGGGGGGGGGGGGGGGGAGAGTTGTAAATTGATGGGACAAAATTATCCTTTTTAATAATGGCTTTCAAAAGCAAATGAGACCTTTGAAACTTAGGTGTCTCTAGAGCTTCTACCACCTTGTTCCAATCACATAAAGCCCTCATAACCTCTGGTCTATACTGTTATGTGATACAAATTAAGGGGGTGTTTGAAAACACGATTGGGTAAAACAAAACCGAAAGGCCTTCAAAAGAATGAAGGAGACAAATATTAGAGAGATTTATTGTGAAACTTTGAGTGATTTCGATGATAGAGTATAAGGTCGTAGGAGATAAAATAGAGTGCAAGTCAAGTACATAAAATGAAACACAATACATATGGGGTTTGTTAATACAAATTTTTAAGAAATTGTGTTGTCACAAGATCAAGGTTCAAAGTATCAACATATATCGGCATGTATCAGCCGATATGTATCGTGTCGGTGGCTTCCCAATAATGCCCCTATAGGGGTTGTATTGGGTCAACCATTGATTCAGAGGGTAACTGGGCCTTAAACCGGCCCCTCTGAACCAGTTTAAAAAAAAATAAGTAAAACATATAAAAAAAATCACCGACAGGCCGATACACCGCATCGATATTTAGAACCTATAGCTATTCCCACGAATATATATATATATTTCATGAAATAGCAGTGACGGTACCAAACATTGCATTGATCAACTCAAGGCATTCATGACAGAAAAATAAAATATATCCTATCACAAATTTGTATTGACCAACCCCAAATATTGGTGTTAGAAATAACAATGGTACCAAAAACCTAAAATAAAATTATCTAACCAGTTTCTCTTTATTTGTTTTTGTTTAATTAATTCAGTTTTAACATTTTAGCATTTCAGCTTTAATTATTTTTGAAGCCTATGAGCCTGATACCTAAAAAACTGATAACCATTCAATCGGTATCAGAGAAGTTAGTAAGCAATCAACTAGTAATGTCGTGCTCACTCCAACAGGATCAGTTTGGAAGGAATAGAAATACAAATATTTAGAGTCTAAAACCTTGTATTTTGTATATATTTATACTGTATATATTTGCATTTGTACTCTTTCCACACTGAGCCACAGTAACAAGTTCAGCCACAAAAGTGGAGTAGATTATGACTCAGTCATCTCCAGACTCCTGCAGGTTAAAGATTGACCCACTAAAACAAGGAGATAAATGCGGGTCAGGTCATAACCCTCATATATGAATTACCTCAATGCTGGGCCCGCCTAATAAAGAGAAAAATGGGCCTGGGCCAAATGGTCACCCCCTGATATGCTCACAACTAAAGTCAATTTTGATGTATCGTAGAGGTCGGATGGAAGATGTTTGATTGGATGCGTAGCCGTGGCATTGTGGTAGCGATTGTGAAATGCATAGGTAAGATGTGGGCTGCAATAAAAGCCCAATAAGTTGCGGCTCAAATAGGAAGCGAGAAAGTCTTCGTCGAATTTGGAAGGAGATTCAGGGATTGTAATCCACTATCTTCTCATGAAAATGTGGAAGGAGGCTTCTTCAGTTGTTCTACAGACATATGCGTGGGGAGAAGAGAATTAAGCTGCTGAGTCGCCTACAGAACAAAGGCTTCTATGGACATATTCTTTATTTCTTCAAGTCTATTTGGGAGAGCTCTGATGCAGTGGCTTTTGGCTTTGTAAGCTAGACCCCACTCTGGCAGCCTATAAGAGTGAAAACCCCAGAGAACCCAAAATGACTGTCTGAGCAAAAAAAAAAACATGATGCTGTTTGGGTATAT